CGCCCTAGCTTGGCCGGGCGCCACTTGTCCGACTTTGTTCCCCTGGTGGTGCTGCTGAAGGAAGACCTCGGCCGCGTCCGCCAACTCGGAGCATCCGAACTCGACGGCGCGCGCCGCCAACGCCTCGACGTCGTGCGTCTCATCAGCCTCCTTCGCCGCTCGCTCGGTTGCGGAGGTAACGACCCGACAGGCCCGTCGCCGCTGCCGCGTGCTGGGGGTGGGGGTGGGGGTGGGTGGGTGGGTGGGTGGGTGGGTCGGTATTAATTTCGTGCATGACCTCCTTCATGCGCGCCAGCTCGGGCGTGGAGTCTGGCAGCAGAGCTCTCTGCTGCTTTGCCTGGTGGCGGCTGGTCAGCCACCGGGTGTCGGGCCCCTGCGTCGTCAGGCGTAGGTGCTCCTCGAGCTCCGTGGGGTTGGAGCCCTTCATATTTTTCGGGGCCCCCACCCAGAGGGAGGGGAGCTCGCGCGCGGCTCGCCCATGGCCTCTCGAGGTGAAACCGCCCCGACTCCTCCTGCATCTCTGGCTTCCTCGACCTGCGGCGCCTCCTCCTTCGGCGTGCCGACGGTGGGGGTCTCTTGACCAGCGTCGAGGCTGGCCGCCTCGCACTCGACAACTTCCTCGCCGCGGCCTTTGGCCCCTGCGGCCGCTGCCACAGCCTGGGGCGCGGGCGCGGAAGAGCTGGCGGCGGGCGCGGCCTCCCCAACCCGCTTGGGGGCCTCTGCTTCGTGCGCCTTCCTGAGCGCGGCCATCGTCTTGTCCGCGTCCTCGTGTCTCCCGTGGGACCCCCGCGCTTGATGAGCTGCATCTGCGCTGTGCGGTCCAGCGGGCCCACCTAGCCAATCGCTCGGTGGGAGTGCGGGCAGGCGGTGTTCTGGAAGCCTTTCCAGCTGGCGTTGTCCCAGCAGGTGGTGCGGCCGCTGGAGGGGGACTTAGGCCTGTGGTCGAGACCCCTCCCGTGATTCTTCTTGCTGAGGGCCTGGCCAGATGGCCCAGCGCCGCCCTTGCTGCTGCCTCCTCCGCCTGCTGCGCCGCCGCCACCCCCTCCTGCTCCTGTGCCTTCAGCGCCCGCCCTGTGGCGGCCAGCTGCCAGCTGCGCTGGCTGAGGCTGAACGGCTACAGAGCGGAACGCCGTTTGCCATTGCGACCGCTGGAGCTTGCTATGGTGCCAGGCCATGTTGTCGGTCATGAATACTGATCGGGCTCGTCAAGGTAATATATCCTGGGCATCTTCAGCCGCGGCCCTGGATCGTCCGCGCTGCTAGGCGATGTGTACGCGAAGCGGATCCTGTCCCACGTCGGGCTTTCGTCCCCCATGAGCTCTGGCATCTTGGCCTTCGTCATGCGCAATTCCTCGCGCCGCCCTGCCCCTCAGCTCCGCCCAGATGCCGTTGGTGGGGTTGGGGGGCCACGCGTGGTCTGCCTCGTCGTTCATTTTGAGCAGCTGCTCGGCCGCTGTGACCTGCTGGTCGTAGTGCGCCTGCCCGTGGAAGCAGGCCCATCCCCGCGCCTCCCGCTTAGCGTCCTGGAACCCATACTGAGGAGTGGGCGCGCGTCGAGGTCGCGCGGCGCGAAGTTGCCCATGTCCGCCCCGACGTCTTCGGGAAGCTTGCGCAGCTGAGCCAGTAGCCCGGGAGGTGGGCGTGGTCGCGTCTCCCGTGCTGGAAGGCGGCGCGGCCGTAAGCGATGGCATCGGCGACGTTGGTCGGGGACTTGATAGAGCGGAACGACGGCCTCGAGTTCTGCCCCGCCGACCGAAGGCTGTAAAACACACCCTTCCCCTGCAAGCCATGGGCGCCTGCTGCTCCCCCGCCCGGCCGCTGCTAGCCAGCGTGCCTTTGGCTGCTCCTCCTGCCTCCCCCGCGTGCTTCTTGGCCCGCCCCGGCTCTGTAATGGGGCTCTGCAAGCCGAGTCCCAGCTCGGTCTTGGGGGGCGGCCCCGCCAGGATTCGCTCCTCCTGAGGCATGGGGGAGGCGCCCGTGTGCCACTCCCTAGGCCTGGTGATTCATTCGTTCGACGAAGGATGCCTCTGGCGAGGGCCTGCCCCCCCGCGGGGGGGGGAGGGGCTGGGCAGCGTTGTGGAACGCCGACGGGTCGAACCCTGCGGGTGATTGCTGAACTGGAGGCCTCTGGCCGAAGGCGACGAACCCCGAGCCCGGGGGCGCTCCAGGCCTCGGCCCAGGGGGCGGCGGGCCCGCGGGCCCCCGCCAGGGCGTGGGCGCCCCGAGCGGTCGGTGCGCGCTGGGAAGGGGACTCCCCGCCGTCGCCAGGCACAGCAGCCCTTCCGTATCTGCGGGCCGCCCTGCCGCCCCATGGCCACGCCCGTCTCCGCGCTCGAGCTCCCCGCCCCGCGCGGCCTGGCACCTCCGAGGCAGGCTGGGTCCGACCTCGCTAACCGCGCCCTCGTGCATCGCGTCGGCGGCTTCAATGAGCTCGGCGAGGAGCTCATCTCCCCGCTCCTCGCTCGGCAGACAAGGCACCTCGAGCAGAAACGCCTGTATGGCCGTCCGCCCTGCGGCCCGAGTAGTCGGAGATGAGGGTTGTGCGGGGGTCCCGTTTCCTCTGCCCCTTATCCTGCGCCAGCTTCGCGTCGAAATCGCTGCGTTCCTCCTTGCTCGTCGGCGTGGCGCTCCTGCTCCAGGATCTCGCCCTGCGCGCCAGGTGGTAGCGACTCCGCTCCTTGCTCAGGGCGACCGCGGATAGCGGGCTCAGGCTATCCCCGCGGTAGTTGGCGCCGTCTTCGTAATCCGAGAGTCTGGGGGCCGCGCCGGGATCCCGGCACGCGGCTGGGGGCTGGGGGCTGATGAACTAACTCATCGAGCAGCTCTGGGCGCAGGGCCGACAGGGCGCAATCAGGGCGGAGAAGACGAGGCCGAGGCCGACCGCCTCCACGTCGGTGCGGGGGTCGCTCTCGGTGGCGCCCTTGGCCGGGCCGATGAAATTGGCGGGTTAGGCTGCGGTGCGCGCCCCTGCTCGCGTCCGCGTCGGCCAGGGGGCCCCTCGCGTGGATCGGCCAGGCCACCTCTGCTGCCGCCTTGGCGGGGCTGCCCTTTCTGGCTCCTGCGCTCGCCGAGAGGCGTTCCCCGCGCGCCTGGCGGGCTTCCTGTCCTTCGGTGTGGCGAGGGCTCGGCTTCTTCTCCTCCTCGGGCCTCGGGGTAGTGGGGCGGCTGCGCCAGGCTGCGACCCGATCGGTCGCGTGCGTCGCGCAGAGGGGGGGGGGGGGCGCCTCCTTATCCGTGGTCATCCCACTGCAGCACTGGGCACGGGCGCGCTTCCGCTGCGCCGCCCGCGCCTCGTAGGCCTGCGCGTGGAAGGCGCGCGCCCGGAAAGTGCGGGCGCCGCCCGCCTCTGGGGGCTTGGCCAGGTCCGACACGTTGATCTGGGAGCCGGCGTTGGCCGCGCGCGAGGAGCAGACGTGGGCCGCGCCCCTCTCGCCCTCCGGCAGGGTGCGCGGGGTGGCCGCGCAGGGGTGCACCACTCCGATGCCCTCCTCGTCCGTGGTCGTTTCATGGTCGTCCTTGAGGTAGCGGTGGGAGCTGCCCTTCACGCCCTTGAAGCGGAAGACGCACCCGTGCCTAGTGAGGCAACTACCTGCGAGAGGCCCCTGCTCCAAACGCGCCACTGACCCGCCTGACTTCACGATGAGGTCGTTGGGCGTCATCCTTTCGGCGATGCCCCCTCTCGCGCGGACCTCGTTCTTCGCGTGGGCTCCGTCTGCTGCCTCGACCTCGGATGGGCCGTCCCAGGACAGATCGCAGGATGGGTCGCCTTCCAGGGCCCCCTTGACATCATGCCAGCGAAGCCCCTCGACGTCCTTGCGATGAACGCAGTATGCGCCCATGCCGTTCGAAGGAGCCACGCTGCCAAGCCGACGTCGGAGCTCGAGATGGCGGCCGCCCCGAAAGCCGCGAGTCCCATGGCCGCCCGCTGCAGCTTCGCCCATTACTCACCAAACAAGTAACGACCCATGGCGTCGACCGTCCCCATCGCGAAAACAATGGGTCGGTGCAGCGCAGCTCCCGGCGCGCGCCCGACCTTCTCGCCGAGCCACTTCAAAGCTGCCTCGATCCACGTGTTGATCCAGGACATGCTGAAGTGCGCTCCCATGGTAGTACATGGCGTCAAGCTTGGCCCCTCGTCCCGCCTGTCTCTTGCCGCCGACGCAGCAGGCGGGTCCGTGGGCCCGCGAGGGGGTGGCGGAGGTGGGCTAGCTCCTTGCGCTTCCCCTTTTCCGACGGCAGCGCCCTCCCCCTGCTCGAGGCTCGCGCTGGCAGCCTCGCTTGGAGGTGGCTGCGCGGGCGCCGCTGCTGGGCTGGCGTCCGCGTAGTAGTAGCCCTGACAATAATACTTGTACTCGCCAGTTGGCAGGGGGCGCTCGCCCGGGTCGGTCCTGGCTGTGGGCGGATCCGTGGCTGGGGGCCCCAAGAGAGCGAGAGTCGCCGTAGAGGCCTTGAGCAAGGAGTACGGAGAGGCTACGCGCCCGAGCAAAACCCTCTTTAATATCTCACGTCCAAGAGAAGGAGGAGGAGAAGGAGGAGGAGGAGGAGAAGGAAGAGGAGAAGGAGGAGAAGGAGGATGAGGACATGCATTGAGCTGCGCTCGGCCGAGCCTCATCTGAGACTGGCAGCCCACTTGCCGAAGCCTCAGCTAGTCGAGGCCGACCGATCGGACTCAGAACCTCCTCCCCCTCTGCTCCTCCCACCGTCCAGATCCTCCATCCGACCTTTCCTCCTGATCCCCCTCGTCGTCTCCGCCCTTCCTTTCAGATTCCCCCTGGCCTCTCGCTCCCTCCTCATTCCCTCCTCATCCTCTCCTTGCCCCCCTCCTCCCCTCCTTCTTCTCCCCCTGCTGAGCGCTTCTCCTTTCCTCCTGATCCTCCCCCTTTTGATCCCTCCTCCTCCTGCTCCTTCTCTTTCTCCTTCTCCTCCTGCTCCTCCTGCTCCTCCTCCTCCTCCTCCTCCTCCTCCTCCTCGACCATCCGCCCGCATCCCCCCCGAAGCTCCTGCCGAAGGCTGGCCCGGTCCTGCTCCCACTGCCGCCGCTGGCCAGCGCGGTCGTCGCCCTCGGCGGCCTGGGGCGATGGTTTTCGGCTCAGGCACGCGGCGGCTCGTAACCCCCCTCGGGAGGAGGAGGAGGAGGAGGAGGAGGAGGAGCAGCAGGAGGAGGAGGAGGAGGAGAAGGAGGAGGAGGAGGAAGAGGAGGAGGAG